TCTTTCCCAACCTGGGGCTGCTAGGCTAAACCCATTTCAATCACTCTGTAACCGTGATGCACGCAGAGATCCAGAGAAGGCCAAGTCCCTTCCCTGCAGCAGATCTGTATCCTGAAAACTGATACAATAATGAATGAGATGAAGGAAAAGTGGGAAAAAACGAAAAAAAAACTCCATGGAAGAAGGCCAAGGGATCTGAAAGAGCTGAGGGCTTGGGGCAGCAGGGGACAAATGTTCATCACTATGCAGAATGGGTGCAGAAAACTAGCTGCTGGGATCATCTAAGCTTAGTGCAAATAACTGTTCCCACTGTCTTCTAGTGAGGGACTTGGGCATGTGGAAGAAAAGCAAATATGGGTGACACTGCTGCAGGAGTGTGGGGACAGTAGGGCTGTTTCTGCTGCAAGGACTTTGGCCCTCAGTTACTGCAGGGGGGAAGAATCAGTGCTTTCAAAGGCTCAAGAAAGGTGCATGGATATTTTCACCCCCTAAAAAGAACGGCCAGGACAGCTCCGCTCTGTACCTCCGTGTCTGCAAACATGCCATTTCTCTGAAAAAAACAAAGATACTGTATTCAAGTCCCTTTTTTGGAGAATTGCCAGGGGTTAGGAATTACCAGCAACTCACCACCACGATCAAGAAAAGCACCTTCCAGCGCCGATTTTAAAAGCCGGAAAGGTATTCAATACCTTGCTCAACACCCTCAAACGCACCTTGAAAGAGAAACATCTGTTCCCTGGGGACTTTCACTCCCTGTCATATGGCCACTGCTAAGTGCTTTTCCCCAGACGCAGCAAGGGACCCGCCGCTGATGAAAGGGAGAAGGGGGCTGGGAGCCCAGCTGGGGGCAGAAAGCTCTCCTGCCCGTGGGGGCCAGAGGCGAGATGAAAGGCCCGTGTATTTTCCCAGGTGATCCCAATAGCATCTCAAAGCCCCGGCTCTCTCACTCTGGCTTTACCCCCAAAACAAACAAACTGGTGCCAATTTGAATATGCTGAGGGCTGACTGATTTGGGCCTTTTGTTGTGTTTTCACAGTTAGCAGTCGACTAGAATTCAAAGGGGAAAGAAAAAGAAAATAATAACAGCAGATTGATAAGATTCCTGAAGCCTTTCTAGGAAACACGGGGCTTAAGTCTCGGCCAGGCTGTGTGAGAAGCAGCGCTGGAGAAGCCAGAGCAGTTACGGCACAAGAATATCAAAGGAAAGAACGACAGGAGCAGCAGGAATCAGATAGCACCTCGCTTGTCCTTTAGTCCTGCTGCACCAGAGACCAGATCTGGGGGACGTTTAGACCCTCTGGGCTGGAGCATCACCCAGCAACCCACTGAGGTTGGCAGCACAACTCCAGGGCTTGGCCAGCAAGCTTTAAATGCCTGAGGTCAGGTGGGTTTTTCCCATCTGAGCATGTTATTCCCAGTGTGTCTGGTTGTGTATCCTGGGTACGCGGTTGGCAGACGACGTCCACGTGCAGTTGCTCCAGAAGTCACTCCCACACCGTTCACAGCCTCAACCTTTTCAAGTTAAGTGAAACCCAGCAGCCTCCCCGACCTGCAGCTTAGCTCAGAGATTAGCGTTTATGTTTCAGACCTAAGGAAAGGCTTATGTACTCAAAACCTTCTCTGGTTTCCCCCAGCAATTATATCATCCAGGCTAAATAAAGGCTTCTCTGGCAAACCCCACTCCAATCGCAACCTTCAGAAACATGAGCAAGGAGGGCTCAGGCAGGAGAGAGGCTGCACATGGTACCCTGGGCCGGCTGTGGGGCAGGAGGCAGAGCCCTGCACGGCGGCCGGGGCAGCGCACACAGCAGCCCCGTGGCTGTCAGCGGGGCCCGCGGCCCCGAGGGCTTTGCCAAGAGGAAGAGCTGAGGGAGGCAGCATGGACCGTGCTCTGGAAGAGAGACGGGACCTTTGGCAGCTTTTACGAGAAGCCGTGCACGAGGAGCCGTCCCTTGCCCAAGTAGCGGAGACCTCCCATGCCGCAAGAGAGACAGATGGAAAAGGGACAAGGAGCTAAGGGCAAGGAGACAACCCACCCGGTGGCTGACGAGGAGGAGAAGACTTGACAAGCAAGAAGCAAAGGACAGAGTCTCCTCAGTGATGGGAAATGCCTGGCAGGCAGGAGGGGACGGATGGGGGAGCAGCGGCAGGCTGGCAAGACAGGGATATAATTGATGGGAGATCAGTTCCCCTAATAAGACCACATCAGGATTTTGGCACATTTGTTCCTTGCTGACCTGCAGAAGCTTCCTGGGCTCTTTGAAGTCAGCTGCCTGCTGGGGCCGGGATGCGCACAAATGCACACGCTGCGCGGCCCAGCCCTACGGCGGGACGTGGTGTGCTGGCTGCAGAGCTAAGAGGATTGTGAACCATCATGATTTGTGCCTGGAAATCTCTGCATGTGTTTTGGCTGATGGCGGCTGCTCTGATAAAGAGCGAAAAAGGGGGCCTGCTGGGCAAGTGAGCTCTTATCATCTCCTGCCCTGGCTGCAAAATGAATCAGCCTTGGCAGCATCTTTGAGACCGGGAATTTCTGCTCATGTCCTTGCAAGTCCCTGTCCTGCCTAGTCAAACCCAGTCTCAGTAGGAAGAGGGACTCAATGCAGATTATAAATCTCTAGGTCCTGGAGTTACATGAGCTATTAAGAGAAGTATGCTGTTGCAAATAAAATTTGAAAATCTGAATGAAATCTACCTCAGAGGTCTAAAAGCAGAGGGGAGTAAAACGTACCCTTTTTGAAATGAAAAACCTTGTGTGACTCTTAAGACCTGGAGACCTCCAAGCACTTTACAGGGATGGGTATTACAGTCATCTAGCTCTGTGCTAAGTACAAAAGGAGACGAGAGCGCTGAAGCTGCCATCACCCACCTGCTTCCCGCCGGCTCTGCCCGCTGCAGGCGTCTGCTCGTGCAGCTGTGTGGGGAAGTGGCTCCGGGCGTGCATACGGCTTGTGGGGGGAAACCTTCCAGAGGAGAGCGAAGAGAGTGGTTTTGCCACCTGGATGATCTCCACAAGCCACTAGCACAATGGAAAGGGCAGGAGCGAGCAGCTGGAAAGATGGTCTTTAAGATAGTGTTAAGACAGACAGTTGTGAAACTGCAGCCTAAGGGGGTGGACTTTCCCATCGGGAAGAGGGGATATTTTTCCTGCTTGGCACTAGTGAATGGTGAAGATTTCTGGCGTGTCTTTACGAGGCAGGTTGTCCCCCAGACCTTCCCCTCTCTGCCATATCAGTCTGTGCAGAGACGGTCGGAGACCAGGGACACGTGCCCACCGACAGCAGAGAAGCATGTTTCAGATCATGCCCTATTGAAAAGATCAGCAGCACAACACTAAAAACAATTTTAAAATGACAATGACAGATAGATTTGTTCCCCCCTGCCTGGGAAGGGGACCGCCGAGGAGCAGATTGAAAACGCTGCTCACCCTGCCCAGGGCCAACATCTGCCCTGGGGACCCAGCTGCAGCTCACAACCCTCTTCCAGCGGGGAGCCTCCCTCCTGCCAGCCGGGTCCTGTTGTGACCCTGCTTGTACACACGGTAACCCCACATGGGACCGTGACCCTGCATTTGGGAGTCCCTGGGCTTTCAGTGTGGGCCGGTTTGCCTTGGACTTTATCCAAAAAGAACACAAACGTGGTTTCCAAATGCAGCAGCCACAGACACCCAGGCAGCCTCACCAGCTGCCCTCGCTACCCAGAAAGCATCCACTTTTGTTTCCTAAAAATTAGCACCCTCTAGCACCCAGCCCAGCTCCCAGTCCAACAGCAAGCACTGTTCTGCGTTATGAGCCAGACCAGATCTAATCATCTGCAGCAGAATAATTTATTCCCTTTACCCTGCCCAGTGTATATTCCCAATATGTCATTTAAATGTCAAGCTTCCCAGTGTCATTACCCTTCCCAGTGTTAGACTCAGCGGCGACACGCGGAGCAGCCCGAGCCAGATACTCCTGCCACAGTCAGCAAACGAGCGTGCTTTGTATTAGGCCCATTAGGAAAAACAGTCCTATTGCAAAGAATATTAAATTAAAGGAAAACAGCAAGAAGAATAATTCAGCCCTGGTTAGACACACAAGTACACAGGACACTCTCCTGCCCCAGGTATTCCTCCCAGCCCTTGCAGCCCCTTGGCATGGAGGCAGGCACCTCGCTTCCTCCCTTCAGGGCCTTTCCCACCTCCTGTCACCCTGTAGCATTTGGAAAAAATACGAGATTCCCCAGCTAGGATTTGCTAATACCAGAACAAAATATAAAAACACTGTCACTGCTGCATTGTGGCCTTGCCACGTGGGTGGCTTAGCCAACAGCAACTGCCAGGCACTGGCCTTGTGCAGTGTCTCTCACGGTGTGCGGGGCAAGACCCCTCACAGCGGCAAGACAAGCCAAACAACTGAAAGCAACGTCAGGAAAAATGGGGACAGGAGGATATATGGCCGCGGCAAAGCCGAGGGTCCCGGAAAGAGCAGAGCCACTGATGGAAAAAACCTACGTAGGAGATGTCTATCTTTATGCACTGGCACGCGAGTTTCCAGGTGAAAACTTCTACGCACCATCCCCAGGATCCATGGAGCCATCAAACACCACAGGTATTTTGATGGATGCAGTAAGAAACATATTTCAGATTAAAATTGCTCCCTAATGCTCTCTTAATCCTTTCAGCTAACATGGGAAAGAGGTTGATGATAAAGTGGACGTCACTTGGGGCCTCTAAGGGCAAGGTTAGACTGAGCTTTGCTGGCTTAGCAGGAGCTATCTCAGAAGATACTGTCTTTTGGGTAAGCGCTGGTAGTCATCAAACACTCCTAATGTTCTTTGTCTGCAAAGTAAAATTAATTCATTATGATGGTTTACATACATGTATTTTACTTCTGAGTGGAACAGGTGAAACATACAGCTAATTACCATCACTCAGCTGCAGGGTGGTGACTGGTGAAGCCACAGCAATACAGTAGCAATTGAATGAGGGGGCCATCCCCTAAGCGCAGCGTCTCCCAAAGCAGACCGTAACGTTGCAGGAGCCGTTCTGCCTGCCTACATCTTGGTATGGATGTTTAGCATCATGTCCACTCTGTAAATGCAGCCCAGGCTTATACTCAAGGTCGCTGGGGTGTAACCCCAAATGGCTCAATAAAGTCTACAAAAACTAAGGTGGAGGAAAGCCCTGCCCAGCTTTACTGTGTCACCTATCCACGGAGCGGAGAGAAACCAGAATGACTCATCCAGAGCTTGCCTGGAGCAGAGGTGGGCCCAGGGCTGCAGCATTTGGATCAAAATGTTGTTTATTCAAAGGCTCAGCAATATTGGACTGAAGGGTTTGACTCCTTGTAAAGATAGAGGCCAAAAGGAAATTTCAGATCCTCCTCCACATCCAAACTTTTCCAAAACTCGAGCGTGTTTAGATCTGAGGGTCTGGCTTGGCCTTTCCTCTACCGCTAACAGCACTCAGTGTGAAACGTACAGCGTGCCGGAGAGCACTAATGCCTTGCAGACCTGGGTTGTGTCATTCGCCAATGTTATTTATACAGCACTATTTAAAAATGCAGGGTAAAACTTGTGGAAGTGTCTATGTGGAAGATTTGTTTTATCTAATTTTGTCCACCTGCAGGCTTTCATGCCTTAGACTAGAAATCTCCAAGGCTCCTTTTGCAGCCAAAGGGCAGAGACAAGCATCTCTGGAAGGCAATACGTCTCTCCTACCCTGGACACCTGTCCTGGGGAGGGAAGAACCCCCTTCCAGAGGCGTGACTCTCTCACCACCAGCCAAGCAGAGCTTCGACAAGTTGCTTCAGCTAAATACTTGGTTTTTAGCTGGCTTGGTTAGGTGAGGTGAATCATGTTGGTACGACTAAGGAATGTAATTCCATTTTCAGTCGTGATTCAGGCACCCCCAGCCAGATTGTTAGATTCATCACGTACCTAAAAATACAGATGATGATTTCCAGAAGTGCCCACAGGCTGTTGCGCTCAAGGGTGCCAGACTGATCAGTAGACTTGAGGTTCACTAGTCATTTAGCTGCCTGGGGTAGCTAAAGGAGTTAGCTCCTTAGCTAACTCCGAAGGAGTTTCTCCCCTCCTTGCTGTCTGACGTCTAAAAAGTCACGCACGTAAACCTGCATGCAGCTCATCTACCCGTCGGGATTAGCAGCGGGGTCCTTGGCAGGACTGCCCTGCAGCAAAGCCAGCAAACCCGGCAGGAACCGCGCCGAGCACCAGCCCTGAGACCTGGCCTCGTTAGCGTCCAGCACTGCATGTTCTGGGGCAGATCATCTGCCTTTCGCTAGGTCTGCGATTACGCTGAGGGTCTCTCATTGGATCTCCAGGACTGCCGGATCAACTCAGCTGGCCTGCTCAGTGCAGCAGCAAAAGTGTCCTCTCCATCTTTATTACTCCTTCACGAGCCAGCAGGGCTGTAGGAAGTCCAAGGTGCCTTGACAGTAGTTTCCTCTGTCGGTAAAACCCCAAGGAAAAAAAAGAAAAAAAGAAGAAAAAATTGCAGGGGGAACAAACACGGCAACAAACTGCATAATCAGCTGCTATTCAAAGTATGGAGGACGTTTGCTTATTCCCCTGATTCACTCTCTCCAGCTCTGAACCTTCCGCTTTGCAAACTCCCACCCCAAAGCTCAGCGAGTTAATAAATACTCTCGGAAATGAATTACAAAAATTAGTCACTTCTTAACGCTGTTTTCTGTGAACTCTTTTAAATCACTCCAGCAAAGCTGAAATTATCTTTATTAAGATAATTGCCTCACTGTAGACTGTTTAGTCTGTCATCTGCAAAAATGGAGAATGACCGAAGGAGCTGAATCTGCTCCGTGCCACATCCGTGCCCGGGAACGGGAGCCCAGTGCACTCGCTGCACATCCAGAACGAGCCCGCCCGGCCGCCCGGCACGTGGCTTCCCAAAAAGGCCAGCAACCTCCCCTGGGAGCCTGTTTTCAGCACTCTGCCACTGCTCCCTTTCCACAGCCTGCCATCCCCAGAGGAAATATTAACTGAATTATTGCTAACCAAAGAAAATCTCACTTTAAAGGCCACATGCTCTGAAAAAAAAAAAGGAATAAAAATAATAAGTGAAGGACGTGGCTAGGAAGACGATTTTGAAGGGCTGACGGCGAGGTTGTTAGTAATGAACATTGATACCTCTCCATCCGAGCAGGAAGGGAGGGAACAGCTGGAAGGTCAGTGCTGAGTTGGGGAATCGCAGCCAGAGCAATTTGTGCTTGAAACAGAGCTTGGCAAACCTTTGGGAAATCAAGGTTTTTGTCAGATTTTTGCAAACTATTTTTGTCACTGTTGTTGCTGGGCATTTGGAGACAAAATAATAGAGGCTGAGGAAGAGGGACTGCTGTAATTTAACTGAAGGACTTATGTCCTCTCCAAGGCTTGGATGAATGGATGACCTGCAGATACTGCTTGTTGGCTTGTATACTGTGTAACATACCACCCCCTCTTTCCTATTTCCTCTCTTCTCTCTCTCTCTTTTTTTTCTTAAGACAGACTCCCTACTCTTGTGTTTTTGCTCTTTTTCCCTATTTCAAAAATCTTCCCTCTGTTGGAGCTTTTCTGTCTGCTCTGAGGGACTTCATTACACTGGGAAAACCCGCCCAGCAAAACGCAACGTTTTCTGAAGCAAACTTGAAATCTGCCAGTCTGGACTCTCAGCATTCATGCACCTGCTCCTCATGCCTGGTCCCAGGCGCTGCCCTGTTCTGCATCCCTCCTGTCCATGCGCTGGATTACAACAAAGCAGACCCCAAGATCTCACTGCAATGTGCATCTCCCACTTCCAGAAGGTCTCCTCTGCTGGCTCAGCATTCCCTGCAGGAACTGCTCATCACTGGAGAAATGAATAACTAGTTTTTTGGTTTCGTTTTTTTTTTTTTTTAATCCATTGCACAAGCACTGTCTGGAGAACATTTTCTGCAGCTGCCTGCATGTCACCCATCTCTTTTCGCGGGAAACAATGGGGCCTGGTGTTTGCTGTCGGAGGCCACGCCGTCCGTTCGGGCTGTGCCGTGCTCGGCCGGGGACAGTCCCGCTCGTCTCCTCCCGCCTGGCATTGCGTGTTGCCTCTGAGCGCTGAGCCGGATGAGGCTGCTGCGAGCTCCCTGCAGCGGGAAGGGGGGCTCCTTGCAGATCTCCCATGGAAAGGGATGATAATCCCTGGGAACCTCCTCCTTCCTGGGAAGCAGCAGCAGATGACCTGGTGCTCGCTGCGACTCGTTGATACCCACCAGACGTTCCTCTCCAAAGCTCAGACAGTCAATAGGAGGATTAATTGGGGAGCTAATAAAATAATCAATGCTGAGGAGAATGATCTTAAGTAATTGATAACTAGGATCCTTCAGGTAGCAGCTGACCTTGACAAGTAATAATCATCTGGCCGAGAGAAAATTGCTGCGGTGCAGATCACGCTGTCAAGGATGCCTGATGTATGTGATATATATCGCCGGTGCATCTCTCTCCATTTCTCACTCCACCAACAGGCAGCAAATCCACGCTGTTGGAAACCCCGCCTGCTCCCAATTACATCTATCACAACTAGACAATTTTAGAGATTGCCCCCCAGCCACTACCTACCCTGAGCTTTGCAAACAAAGTAATGATCAAAGCTCCTTCCTTTATTAGGGGTCTGCTGAGCTCAGAGGCCTCAAAATGCCACCTTGCAGATATTAATTCCTGATGCTTCATTTTTGCTTCTGGTGTCAAGGAACCGTTTGCAACCATTTCCTGCTAATCATAAGAACACAGGCTGTTTCTCACTATTGTTCTCATAAAAACTGCTCAGAAAAAGTTGCCTAGGTCATTTGCTACATTTATTGCAAATGTCGGCTTAAATTTATTTTCAAAAAGCATAACCATTCATTCGTATTTTTGTGCCCACTATAAATCAGCTCTGTTTGAAAACTAGACAAAAAGCATCTCTTTGGTTTAGCCTCCGGGCTTTTCTTTTGTTTATCCACAGGTCTAAATAAAACAGAGACTGCCGTGACGGTTAAACACAACAAACGAGAGCAAAGTAGTTCACCTGTTTAAATTAATTTACCCATGAATTGTGTTTGCGGCTCCCACAGCTGCAGGGCACTCCCGCACAGTAACCTTCAGTTTGCACGCTGCACCTGCCTCTGTATCAAACACCTTGGGCAACCCTGTCCGCAGAGATTTCGCCCACGTTCACAGGGCGAAGGGACAACTTCACCCCTATTTGAAACATCTGGAATGCATCAAACTGCCAGCAGACCCCCTTGCACTCTTAGTCCAAAGTGCAACACGTGACCGTGCAGCTAGAGCCCAGTTCAACAAAAGCACCTCAACTTGAGCTTAATTTTAAGTTAACTTCGTGCCAAATATTGTGCTGAATAGGGGTGGGTGCTTGCGTGCCCTGCTAATGGAAACCACATGTGTGCAGGCACACAGAAGGCCCTATGGCTTGCTTGTTTTTCCAGTCCCTTGCCAATCAGGTGTTTCCCTCTCTGCAAAACCCCCCGGTGACAAACCCTTCTATTCCCAGCACCCTAAACACACGTATCCTCCAGTTGCAAATTTATGATGCTAAGGCTGTAAATTGGCACTTACTAAATCTCCTTTGCAAGGAAGCTGGACCAGGGCTGCCAATATTATGAAACAGCCTAATCATTTATCAGTTCTCCCCTTCGCACCACTATTCCTAGTCTAACAGCTCCGGCTTTTGGCACTGAATACTAATGCCACGGGCTCATCTGTATTCTGAGAGCTGCATGCACATCTCAGCCGCACACACTGCTAGCACGAAATCCACGGAGGACGTAATGAAAATTCACAGACAGCTTAATAATACCATTAGCATACCTCAGAGTCTCTTACCTATCATTGCCATGAAGAGCCAGCCCCAGATGTCCCATGGATTTGACCCTGCCACGCTCATCACTGCAGCCACGACCAAGCCTCCTTTGTGAAATGCAAGTGAGCTGCCCAGGAACAAAAACAAAAAAACCCCAAACAAACGGAAAACCTTTGCAGGCTGGTTCTACCTTTCCTGTTTTTTATGCAAACCTGTCGTTTACAGAGCTCCTTCTGTTGTCACACTGAGGCATGACCTTGAGTAAAAATGCTTCGCCCTTCTTCAGGGACATAGCAACCTCCTGGAAGCATGGATGGCCTGAACGGGAGAAGCCTCGTCCCGCTCTGGGAACCACAGGAGAGCAGCAGCCTGGCATGGTGTGGAGGGGATACAAATGCAAGGCAACACCACCCAGGCTGAAGCAGTGGGATCCATCACTCACTCCTCCAAGAATGGCATTTGTCAGAATTGGGTATTTCTTATTCTTGTGTTGCCATACCCTGTGCATCCCCCCGGCCAGGCGACCGGGCTGCTCTGTGGGTAGGGCAGGAGCCCTGCAGCTTTCACTCCTGTCCAGGAGCACCGAGGTTAGCGGGCTCCCTCCTGCTGCTGAATTTCAGGGTTTGCTCCCCAGCACCAAGTGCTGACACAGTGTTTCTGGTGCAAGTGGCAAGCTGACGTGCGCCAGATCCTCAGGCAGAGGGGTAGATCCCAACCACCCAGAGACGCTGTTCAAAATCTACCCAAACCTGCTATTCCTAACCAGGAAGCTGCGAACCTGTCTGCGGGTGCAGAGGCAGCCTTGGGTCCATGCAGAAGGACACCTGGAGTCCAGGCCCATTTTTCCCTAGACCCTGCACATCTCAACCACATCTACCCTCCTGATCCATCTTCGGGCATGAGCAATGACTCTCATAATAATTGTTTTACAGAAGGCAGCAGAGATGAAACCTCCGCGGTCCCAGGCACTGAATAACCACACCGGGACAGACGATTCCTGCCCCGAGGCACTTACAGTTCGACTGGGCAAGGCAGGAAAGCCAGGGTGGAAACACAGGCCCTGAAAGGGGAAAAGTCATACCTAAAATCAGCCAGCAATGTAGCAACGGTGCTGCGAGGAGATCCAGCTCCTGGCCCTGAGCTCCGCACCTTACCGAGCCTTTACCTCTCACTGCAGGACTTTCAAAAAAGAAACCAAATGTACATCAACGTCAGAAAAAAACAAACAAAAAAAAAGCTCACAGGAGGCTAGCTAGCCATCTCCTTAATGTACAGCGCTGTAGTAAGTGTCTGCTCCAGAGCCCAGGCTCTCTCTTTTTATCCAAACATACAATGTACCCACTGTAATCCTCTCTGCCTCCGGAGTCTCATGACCCAGGGAGAAAAAATGGTTCTGATTCATTTACATTTACGATGTGGATTTTTTAAAGGGAATAGAAGACCCTCTCTCGCGGTTGTTAAATGTCCGCAGCGAAGCACATAGAATATAAGCCACTGGGTCATGAAATGTAGCATTTCTTTCATTCTTATCTCCTTTCTCCAGCTTGCCAGAACACTGCAGGCCATCATATTGATATATAAGCAGCAAAATCTTCCTCCCAGAAAGAAAAAATTATTCATCTTTAAATGTTGTTGGCTTTTGCCAGTGAAACATAGGGCTACAACCGCAGAAAAGATAACACAGGTTATTACAAATATTAAATATGAGCAGCCAAAGGGGAACAAAAAAGGGCAACCACAAGCATAGCCTCGATAATCTGCGGCAAGCTGTGAGTAGTGCCATAGGGGAGCAAACATAGCTGGCGTGCGGACACATAGACCTGAGTTTTCCGGGCAAGCTGAAACAAAATCAAATAGGAGGGAAAAAAATAGGTTGTTCTGCAACCAGACTTCAGATTCAGTTCCTCAATTAGCTTTCTTGATGAAGCATTGCCTTTACTTTGAACCCGCTCCTGGGGGAACCAGCACACAGCGGATACATCTCGCAGGTTGACCTCTCCGGCATGCTGGAGACGCCTATTTACAAGCAGGGCAGATCTGAGGAAGAAAATCACTGACATTCGCTGGTAGCCAGCTGGGCTCACCCATGGTGGAGGATTTCTGTCATGTGCAGCCATGCTTTTCCCACACTAAGTGAAATCAGGATGCTGAGCCCTCGGCAAAGGGCTTCCTGGTGCAGCTGCGGTCTGCTTGGAGGCATTCTTCCCCTCGCACCCTGTTGCATATCCCTCAGACCTCAGAAAAAAAGGGATACCTGGTCTCAAATGTCAGCGGCGGGGACCAAAAAGATATTCAGGACAACCACCAGCCGACAGCAGAACCATCGGCTGCTGGAGGGGCAGCAAATTATAACAGTCGAGAGACCTGCCCCCCTGGCTGGTGCAAGACAGACCTCAGGGACCCATTATTGCAAACAGTTAGATATAATATCCATGCACTGAGCAATCAATCATGTGTTCTGCCAGCCACCACGCACTGCAGTCTATCTTTATAAATTAACCTCTCTTTCCCCTTTTGTAAGAGAAGAGGAGGAGGTGGAGAGCGTCTAGCCCATTCCCACATCTTAGAGAAGAAATCCTATATTATTAATATGATCATCTGTCATGCTGCTTGCCCTGCAAGAAATACACTCCTTTTAACAGAGAAATCCATCCTTTCCTATGGAAGGAAACAAATGTAATCACTACTAAGCATTGCTAGTCTTTCTTGGCTTTTATAGGCTGCATCTGGAGCCCTGAACATCTTGATATTCTTCACGGCTTTTCAGTTCTGACCAAAAGTTCAACTCACTGCAAGTGAAATTTCTGGAGGAAGCTGGGAGTGTCCCATCTGAAAGCTATAAAGAGCTCCATGAAAAACAATAGAAAGCGCTCCTATGTCTGCAACAGATTTATTTGTTGGATTAAATAAGCCTTCCCAAAAGTTGCGTTTTATGTCCCAAATTCAAGAAAGCATCCCCAATCAGGATATCACTCAAACACATGATTAATTTTAAAGCAGACACGCCAAATACATGATCTGTTGGCCAGATCCAACCTGCACAATACATTCACCACACATTAAATGTCACATTCAGATTTTCCAAAACTCTATTTTCGTCCTTTAAATTATTTCTCTTGCCTTCCTGACCACAAAGACCAGCAACCTGGTGCAACCAGCACAGCAATGTTTCTCTGGCTAAGCTGACAGCCAGCGGCCAAGGGGGTGAATGGCTCCAACCCTGTCCTGGCGGGCAGTTGGGTGTGAAGTCTACAGGACATTGGGGTGAACATAAACTGGGTGACTCACGAGTGGATGGCCTTTCTGGGAGACAGGTGGTGGCAGTCCAGGACTTCTCCCATCCCACCCACTGGATCTAGGTTAGTACTCCCAAATTCCTACTTTACTCCTGGATACCCTCTCCAGGCCATGGTTCCTCTAGATCTTTAGGGGAAGTGCTCCTACCAGCCCCTCTTGGCACGCCAGATAGTGTCCAGCACTCTGCATGGTCTATGCACCATGCTCAGAGGGCAGTTTGGCTCCAAATGGTCCATTTGCAACATAGCTCCAATCGTTTCCTGAAAGAAGACCTGAAAATGTAAAAAAAAAAACTGATCAATGTCTAAAGGAAGGGAAGGCTGCAGAGAATACATCCACCACCAGCAAAAACTAGGAAACTGCCTTTAAGCCACTGCGAGAATCTCGCTGATAGACTTTATTTTTCTCACCGCAGCCAGCAGTAATGTTTTCTTTCCTTTCCCTCCCCGCCCCCATTTGCTGAATGTGTTCATTCTGTGGAAGGTTTTGTTTTAAAAAAAAAAAAAAAAGACAACAGACATTCATGGCTCCCAGCTGTCAAAAGCCACAAAATGCCTGAGGCTGTCTGTCTGCTTGCGAGTGCTGAAGCAGTTTTCCTGTAGTTTACACTCTCGTTAATCAAGTCTCAGATTCAGCTCAGTCAATATCACTGTCGATAAGCTGAGAGAGACGCTTTAGGGTCACTAATGTAACTCAGCATCCCTCAACCTACCATGGGGTTGTTGAAAGCATAAAGTGTCAGCCTGGCTCTTCTCCCACTGAAGTCAGTGGGAGATTTTTTTCTTTTAATGTGGCTCAATTCTAAGCCAGCATGAAAGAGGTAGGAACAGAAACAGTCTCTACTGGTCAGAGGATTGGCCATCATCACTCGAAAAGGCATAGGCACAAACCCATCAAAGTTAAATAGGGTTTAATTTCCACTGAGCCTGGACGAGGCTGGTGACTGGTGTTATCCCCAGAGCTTCTGATGTGATGCTGAAGCCCGAAGGGCAAACAAGGCCCTGAGATACTGGTAGGTGTCTGGGGTGCTGAGAGGAAGAAAAGCACGTTAGCCATTTGGTGCTGGAAAAACATATCCATGTCTGGGGTTCCCACTTCAAAAAGAAAGTTGAAAAGTTGTAAACGGTTCAGAAAAGAGCTCTAATAATGGGTCAAACCTGGTCTTTAGTGAGAGATTAGAAAGACAATCTGCCTGGCTAATCCCGGAAAAAGTTCAAAGGTGTCTACATCAAGGCCTTTAAGTCTTACAGGGGGAGACAGTTCCCACTAACAGAGGCCTGACAAAGGCAGAACGACATCTAATGGCTGGACGTTTAGGCCGAACAGATTCAAACTGGAAACCTGAAGCTGCACAAATTCAACAGCGACAGTTATGAACGAGTGGAACAACCTCACTGGCATCACAGCGGAGCCGAATTCAGCGGCCGTTTTGCAGGAGAGGCTTTCCCGCAGCCAGAGGTTAGAGAGAGGCATTACACGGTGCAATTCCCTGGCTTGCACCGTGCCCACAAAACCCTCTGATCTCGCTCACAGCCGAGGGGATTTAACAAGTTAAAATTGAGGCGGGCAGCGAGCAAGCAGTGACGTGACCCGCGGCTTGCTTCCAGCTCCGCAACGTCACCCCCAGGCCCCGTGTTCATGGACCCAACCTGGCCAACGCGGGTTGGAGCAATTGGACGTAACTGCCCCTTCTGGCCTTGACGTTTTGCCTCTGGAGAAGCCACAAAAGGCCTCCCACTTCTCCGGCAGCCGCAGAGAAACTGCTCTCACGTGAGAGCTCAGCAGGCTGCTCGCAAGGCCTGTCTTGGCTAACATGAAGGATTACCTTCCCTCTAGTAATGAGATATTTCATGTCTCTCGCTTTTCTCTTTTAACTCAGGCAGAGGGTCGTGGCAAGACGGCTCCACCATAAAGCATTTGTCACATGCCAATATTCAATTAATAACTGTGAAAACGTCCATCAGGAACCTGGTGGCAGCCAAGCAACGTGAAGGTCACCAAGGGGAGACAAGCTGCAGCAAAACGAAGAAGTGAAGAATTTGATCAGAGCCTCTGGGGCCGCTAACGTTTTTGGTTTTTTAACTCTTTCCAACTTAGTGCCATTTTTTCTGCTGTTGTTTGATCCTTTGATATTTGTCTTTTTATATTGTTTCCTCAGACCTGCACAAAGAGCAAAGTTTCCAACCCGATCTGAAGATAGGCTTTTGTTTTCCACGTGCAACACTGGGAGGAGAGCCTTGTCCCTAGGCGCACAAGTCAGTGCAGTGACAGTACCCCACAAGCCTGACTGCACATTTGGCTCCTTAGACCTCTGACATGGGTCTGGCAACCTCTGTATCTTCCCTCAACAGCTGGCAGAAAAGTGAATGAAGGGGAAGAGAAACAGCCTGGGTAAAAAATAGACCCTCTCTCCATCTCATTTCATTCACAAAAAATGTGTTTGTTTAGAAGGTTTATCTCATGTCTCATCACGCTGGTCATCTTTTAAGTGCTCATAATTTTAATTTCAGCAGGCAGTTAATGTGCTAATCAAACCTGATGGCTTCTCAGCAGGATGGAAAATCCCAAGTGTGGACTTGATTATCAGGCTTCTAAAGAAAAACACTGCAATATAAAGAAAAAAAAATTACATTTTCCTGCAGTGATTATTTACTGCTTTCTTCACTCCATATGTGTGCCCCCAAGAGTCTACTTTGTCCGTGGGGTTACCCAGGTGCACATTACTTCACCTGCTCCATCCCAGAGCAGGGGGACATAGTGTGAGGTGAGCAGTAATGGAAGCTCCCCTCTTCTTGTGCTATCTGATGATCCCACAGGTACACAGCCAGGCTGAAATCCTACATCTGCAACCCAGATAGGAGACTCTCACTACTGCCCCGGCTCCACGGTGAGCTGGGCCAACACGAACTCCACATCTCTTCCTGCAGGGCTTGCCAGGGGTTGAGGG